TGTCCCCCACCCGCCCCCGGGGTCTCGGCTGGCCCCAGGTCCTTGGCTGGCCCCAGGTCCTTGGCTGGCCCCAGGCCAGTGGCCAACCCTTGGCCCTTGGCCATCCTACAGCCCTCAACCATCCCTTGGCCCTCAACTGTCCCCGAGGCCTTGGTTGTCCCCTGTCCCTCAGCTGTCCCCAGGCCCTTGGGTGGTCCCAGACCTTCAGCTGTCCCCAGGCTGGTGGCCAACCCATGGCCCTTGGCCATCCTGTGGGGCTTGGCCGTCTCCTGGCCCTCAGCTGTCCCCACGCCCTTGGTTGACCCCAAACCATCAACCATCCCCGGGCTGGTGGCCAACCCATGGCCCTTGACTGCCCTATGGGTCTCGGCCACCCCCTGGCCCTCAACTGTCCCCACGCCCTTCACCACCCCCCTTGTCTCAACTGTCCCCACGCCCTTGGTTGTCCCCAAACCCTCAGCTGTCCCCACACCGGTGGCCAACCCATGGCCCTTGGCCATCCTTTGGGTCTTGGCCAACCCCTGGCCCTCAACTGTCCCCAGGTCCTTGGTTGTCCTCAGGTCCTTGGTTGGCCCCAGGTCCATGGTTGGCCCCAGGTCCATGGTTGGCCCCAGGCTGGTGGCCAACCCATGGTCCTTGGCCATCCCATGGGTCTTGGCCAACCCTTGGCCCTCAACCGTCCCCAAGGCCTTGACTGTCCCCTGTCCCTCAACCGTCCCCCGCGTCTCGGCTGGCCCCAGGTCCTTGGCTGGCCCCAGGTCCTTGGGTGGCCCCAGGCCAGTGGCCAACCCTTGGCCCTTGGCCATCCTACAGCCCTCAACCATCCCTTGGCCCTCAACTGTCCCCGAGGCCTTGGTTGTCCCCTGTCCCTCAGCTGTCCCCAGGCCCTTGGGTGGTCCCAGACCTTCAGCTGTCCCCAGGCTGGTGGCCAACCCATGGCCCTTGGCCATCCTGTGGGGCTTGGCCGTCTCCTGGCCCTCAGCTGTCCCCACGCCCTTGGTTGACCCCAAACCATCAACCATCCCCGGGCTGGTGGCCAACCCATGGCCCTTGACTGCCCTATGGGTCTCGGCCACCCCCTGGCCCTCAACTGTCCCCACGCCCTTCACCACCCCCCTTGTCTCAACTGTCCCCACGCCCTTGGTTGTCCCCAAACCCTCAGCTGTCCCCACACCGGTGGCCAACCCATGGCCCTTGGCCATCCTTTGGGTCTTGGCCAACCCCTGGCCCTCAACTGTCCCCAGGTCCTTGGTTGTCCTCAGGTCCTTGGTTGGCCCCAGGTCCATGGTTGGCCCCAGGTCCATGGTTGGCCCCAGGCTGGTGGCCAACCCATGGTCCTTGGCCATCCCATGGGTCTTGGCCAACCCTTGGCCCTCAACCGTCCCCAAGGCCTTGACTGTCCCCTGTCCCTCAACCGTCCCCCGCGTCTCGGCTGGCCCCAGGTCCTTGGCTGGCCCCAGGTCCTTGGGTGGCCCCAGGCCAGTGGCCAACCCTTGGCCCTTGGCCATCCTACAGCCCTCAACCATCCCTTGGCCCTCAACTGTCCCCGAGGCCTTGGTTGTCCCCTGTCCCTCAGCTGTCCCCAGGCCCTTGGGTGGTCCCAGACCTTCAGCTGTCCCCAGGCTGGTGGCCAACCCATGGCCCTTGGCCATCCTGTGGGGCTTGGCCGTCTCTGGAGGAACCACGGATGGGGATGGTGGAGGAACCAAGGATGGGTTTGGAGGTGGTGGAGGAACCAGGGATGGGGTTGGGAATGGTGGAGGAACCAAGGATGGGTTTGGAGGTGGTGGAGGAACCAAGGGTGGAGCTGGGGATGGGGGAGGCACCAGGGATGGGGTTGGGGATGGTGGAGGAACCAATGATGGGATTGGTGGAGGCACAAAAAATGGAGCTGGGGATGGTGGAGGAACCAAGGATGGAGCTGGGGATGGTGGAGGAACCAAGGATGGGGTTGGGGATGGTGGAGGAACCAACGATGGAGCTGGTGGAGGAACCATGGATGGAGCTGGGGATGGTGGAGACACCAGGGATAGGGCTGGGGATGGTGGAGGCATCAACGATGGGTTTGGGCATGGTGGAGGAACCAGTGATGGAGCTGGGAATAGTGGAGGAACCAATGATGGAGCTGGGGATGGTGGAGGAACCAAGGATGGGTTTGGGGTTGGTGGAGGAACCAGGGATGGATTTGGGGATGGTGGAGACACAAGGGATGGGGTTGGGGATGGTGGAGGAACCAAGGATGGGTTTGGAGGTGATGGAGGAAAAAAGGATGGAGCTTGGGATGGTGCAGGAACCAAGGATGGGGCTGGGGATGGTGGAGGAACCAGGGATGGGAATGGTGGAGGCACCAGGGATAGGTTTGGGGATGGTGGAGGAACCAGTGATGGGGGCTGAGGAACTGGGGATGGGGCTGGTGGAGCAACTGGGGGTTGGGGATGGTGGAGGAACCAAGGATGGGGCTGGGAATGGTGGAGGCACCAAGGATGGAGCTGGGGCTGGTGGAGGAACCAGGGATGGAGCTGGGGCTGGTGGAGGAACCAGGGTTGGGGATGGTGGAGACACCAGGGATGGGGGTTGAGGAACCGGGGATCAGGCTGGGGATGTTGGAGACACCAGGGATGGGGTTGGGGATGGTGGAGGCACCAAGGATGCAGCTGGGGATGGTGGAGACACCAAAGATGGAGCTACGACTAGTGGAGAAACCAGGGATGGAGCTGGGACTGGTGGAGGAACCAGGGATGGCTTTGGAGGTGGTGGAGGAACCAGGGATGGGGATGGTGGAGGAACCAAGGATGGGGTTGGGGATGGCGGAGACACCACGGATGGGTTGAAGAACCAAGGATGGAGCTGGGGCTGGTGGAGGAACCAAGGATGGAGCTGGGGCTGGTGGAGGAACCAGGGATGGAGCTGGGGCTGGTGGAGGAACCAGGGTTGGGGTTGGGGCTGGTGGAGGAACCAGGGATGGAGCTGGGGATGGTGGAGACACCACGAATGGGGTTGGGGATGGTGGAGGAACCAAGGATGGAGCTGGGGATGGTGTTACAGGGACACTGGAGCCACCAGGGATGGGGACAGAGGCCACCAGGGATGGACTTGGGGACGGTGGAGCCATCAGGGACGGGGATGAGGGACAGCGAGGCCCTTTCCTGCCCAGGGGATTGGAATGGGGACTGGGATATACTGGGATGGACTGGGATGGAGACTGGGGTCACCTTCCCACTCAGGGGACTGGGATGGGGACTGGGATGGACTGGGATGGAGACTGGGGTCCCTTTCCTGCCCAGGGGATTGGAATGGGGACTGGGATATACTGGGATGGACTGGGATGGAGACTGGGGTCACCTTCCCACTCAGGGGACTGGGATGGGGACTGGGATGGACTGGGATGGAGACTGGGGTCCCTTTCCTGCCCAGGGGATTGGAATGGGGACTGGGATATACTGGGATGGACTGGGATGGAGACTGGGGTCACCTTCCCACTCAGGGGACTGGGATGGGGACTGGGATGGACTGGGATGGAGACTGGGGTCCCTTTCCTGCCCAGGGGATTGGAATGGGGACTGGGATATACTGGGATGGACTGGGATGGAGACTGGGGTCACCTTCCCACTCAGGGGACTGGGATGGGGACTGGGATGGACTGGGATGGAGACTGGGGTCCCTTTCCTGCCCAGGGGATTGGAATGGGGACTGGGATATACTGGGATGGACTGGGATGGAGACTGGGGTCACCTTCCCACTCAGGGGACTGGGATGGGGACTGGGATGGACTGGGATGGAGACTGGGGTCCCTTTCCTGCCCAGGGGATTGGAATGGGGACTGGGATATACTGGGATGGACTGGGATGGAGACTGGGGTCACCTTCCCACTCAGGGGACTGGGATGGGGACTGGGATGGACTGGGATGGAGACTGGGGTCCCTTTCCTGCCCAGGGGATTGGAATGGGGACTGGGATATACTGGGATGGACTGGGATGGAGACTGGGGTCACCTTCCCACTCAGGGGACTGGGATGGGGACTGGGATGGACTGGGATGGAGACTGGGGTCCCTTTCCTGCCCAGGGGATTGGAATGGGGACTGGGATATACTGGGATGGACTGGGATGGAGACTGGGGTCACCTTCCCACTCAGGGGACTGGGATGGGGACTGGGATGGACTGGGATGGAGACTGGGGTCCCTTTCCTGCCCAGGGGATTGGAATGGGGACTGGGATATACTGGGATGGACTGGGATGGAGACTGGGGTCACCTTCCCACTCAGGGGACTGGGATGGGGACTGGGATGGACTGGGATGGAGACTGGGGTCCCTTTCCTGCCCAGGGGATTGGAATGGGGACTGGGATATACTGGGATGGACTGGGATGGAGACTGGGGTCACCTTCCCACTCAGGGGACTGGGATGGGGACTGGGATGGACTGGGATGGAGACTGGGGTCCCTTTCCTGCCCAGGGGATTGGAATGGGGACTGGGATATACTGGGATGGACTGGGATGGAGACTGGGGTCACCTTCCCACTCAGGGGACTGGGATGGGGACTGGGATGGACTGGGATGGAGACTGGGGTCCCTTTCCTGCCCAGGGGATTGGAATGGGGACTGGGATATACTGGGATGGACTGGGATGGAGACTGGGGTCACCTTCCCACTCAGGGGACTGGGATGGGGACTGGGATGGACTGGGATGGAGACTGGGGTCCCTTTCCTGCCCAGGGGATTGGAATGGGGACTGGGATATACTGGGATGGACTGGGATGGAGACTGGGGTCACCTTCCCACTCAGGGGACTGGGATGGGGACTGGGATGGACTGGGATGGAGACTGGGGTCCCTTTCCTGCCCAGGGGATTGGAATGGGGACTGGGATATACTGGGATGGACTGGGATGGAGACTGGGGTCACCTTCCCACTCAGGGGACTGGGATGGGGACTGGGATGGACTGGGATGGAGACTGGGGTCCCTTTCCTGCCCAGGGGATTGGAATGGGGACTGGGATATACTGGGATGGACTGGGATGGAGACTGGGGTCACCTTCCCACTCAGGGGACTGGGATGGGGACTGGGATGGACTGGGATGGAGACTGGGGTCCCTTTCCTGCCCAGGGGATTGGAATGGGGACTGGGATATACTGGGATGGACTGGGATGGAGACTGGGGTCACCTTCCCACTCAGGGGACTGGGATGGGGACTGGGATGGACTGGGATGGAGACTGGGGTCCCTTTCCTGCCCAGGGGATTGGAATGGGGACTGGGATATACTGGGATGGACTGGGATGGAGACTGGGGTCACCTTCCCACTCAGGGGACTGGGATGGGGACTGGGATGGACTGGGATGGAGACTGGGGTCCCTTTCCTGCCCAGGGGATTGGAATGGGGACTGGGATATACTGGGATGGACTGGGATGGAGACTGGGGTCACCTTCCCACTCAGGGGACTGGGATGGGGACTGGGATGGACTGGGATGGAGACTGGGGTCCCTTTCCTGCCCAGGGGATTGGAATGGGGACTGGGATATACTGGGATGGACTGGGATGGAGACTGGGGTCACCTTCCCACTCAGGGGACTGGGATGGGGACTGGGATGGACTGGGATGGAGACTGGGGTCCCTTTCCTGCCCAGGGGATTGGAATGGGGACTGGGATATACTGGGATGGACTGGGATGGAGACTGGGGTCACCTTCCCACTCAGGGGACTGGGATGGGGACTGGGATGGACTGGGATGGAGACTGGGGTCCCTTTCCTGCCCAGGGGATTGGAATGGGGACTGGGATATACTGGGATGGACTGGGATGGAGACTGGGGTCACCTTCCCACTCAGGGGACTGGGATGGGGACTGGGATGGACTGGGATGGAGACTGGGGTCCCTTTCCTGCCCAGGGGATTGGAATGGGGACTGGGATATACTGGGATGGACTGGGATGGAGACTGGGGTCACCTTCCCACTCAGGGGACTGGGATGGGGACTGGGATGGACTGGGATGGAGACTGGGGTCCCTTTCCTGCCCAGGGGATTGGAATGGGGACTGGGATATACTGGGATGGACTGGGATGGAGACTGGGGTCACCTTCCCACTCAGGGGACTGGGATGGGGACTGGGATGGACTGGGATGGAGACTGGGGTCCCTTTCCTGCCCAGGGGATTGGAATGGGGACTGGGATATACTGGGATGGACTGGGATGGAGACTGGGGTCACCTTCCCACTCAGGGGACTGGGATGGGGACTGGGATGGACTGGGATGGAGACTGGGGTCCCTTTCCTGCCCAGGGGATTGGAATGGGGACTGGGATATACTGGGATGGACTGGGATGGAGACTGGGGTCACCTTCCCACTCAGGGGACTGGGATGGGGACTGGGATGGACTGGGATGGAGACTGGGGTCCCTTTCCTGCCCAGGGGATTGGAATGGGGACTGGGATATACTGGGATGGACTGGGATGGAGACTGGGGTCACCTTCCCACTCAGGGGACTGGGATGGGGACTGGGATGGACTGGGATGGAGACTGGGGTCCCTTTCCTGCCCAGGGGATTGGAATGGGGACTGGGATATACTGGGATGGACTGGGATGGAGACTGGGGTCACCTTCCCACTCAGGGGACTGGGATGGGGACTGGGATGGACTGGGATGGAGACTGGGGTCCCTTTCCTGCCCAGGGGATTGGAATGGGGACTGGGATATACTGGGATGGACTGGGATGGAGACTGGGGTCACCTTCCCACTCAGGGGACTGGGATGGGGACTGGGATGGACTGGGATGGAGACTGGGGTCCCTTTCCTGCCCAGGGGATTGGAATGGGGACTGGGATATACTGGGATGGACTGGGATGGAGACTGGGGTCACCTTCCCACTCAGGGGACTGGGATGGGGACTGGGATGGACTGGGATGGAGACTGGGGTCCCTTTCCTGCCCAGGGGATTGGAATGGGGACTGGGATATACTGGGATGGACTGGGATGGAGACTGGGGTCACCTTCCCACTCAGGGGACTGGGATGGGGACTGGGATGGACTGGGATGGAGACTGGGGTCCCTTTCCTGCCCAGGGGATTGGAATGGGGACTGGGATATACTGGGATGGACTGGGATGGAGACTGGGGTCACCTTCCCACTCAGGGGACTGGGATGGGGACTGGGATGGACTGGGATGGAGACTGGGGTCCCTTTCCTGCCCAGGGGATTGGAATGGGGACTGGGATATACTGGGATGGACTGGGATGGAGACTGGGGTCACCTTCCCACTCAGGGGACTGGGATGGGGACTGGGATGGACTGGGATGGAGACTGGGGTCCCTTTCCTGCCCAGGGGATTGGAATGGGGACTGGGATATACTGGGATGGACTGGGATGGAGACTGGGGTCACCTTCCCACTCAGGGGACTGGGATGGGGACTGGGATGGACTGGGATGGACTGGGATGGAGACTGGGGTCCCTTTCCTGCCCAGGGGATTGGAATGGGGACTGGGATATACTGGGATGGACTGGGATGGGGACTGGGGTCAAGACTGGGATCCCCTTCCTGCCCAGGGGACTGGGATGGGGACTGGGATATACTGGGAGGGACTGGGATGGAGACTGGGTTCCCCTTCCCACCCAGGGTACTGGGAGGGACTAAAGGGGACTGGAAAGTGCTGTAGAGACTGGGATGGAGACTGGGAGGAACTGGGACGGGAACTGGGAGGGACTGGGAGCGAGTCTGTGAGCACTATGGAGACTGGGATGGATTGGGATGGGAACTGGGAGGGACTGGGGTGGAGACTGAGTGGACTGGGATGGGAACTGGGAGGGACTGGGAAGGATGAGACGGAGATGAGGAGTTACTGGGATGGACTGGGACGGACTGGGAGCCGCTGACCCCTCCCCTTCGGCCCAGACGCCTCCGCCCGCTGCGACTCGGGCTCCG